TACTTAAAAAGTCATAACAATAAAGAGCCAATTCTTAAACTACTAGTAATATCAGCAGCCTATCATACATGTCTCAAAAATGCTTATGTGTCGTGATCAATCAAGAAAGTTTGTAACCATGGAAACCTTGTCGTTTCCTCTACAATTTCTTATGAAAACTGAAACGTGCACATCTACTTTGAAACGCAACTACTCTATCTAATTTACGGTACAAACTAGCATCAGAGAATTTCTTCGACTTTCGCTGAGAATTTGAAAGTTTTGAGCTTGCAATACAAGTAACGACAACTGTTTTTGCCAAAAACCATGTCAGAGATACCTTATGATGATGGGCTTTGCTTTTATAATGTTTATAGCAAGTCCACTAAAAAAGTTCAGGAAGCAACATTAATAAAACGGTAAGCTTGAAGTATAACTAGCGCAAAAAAGGTAAACATTAAGGTCAAATAGTTTCAAAATCAGAAGGCTCTACAGCTAACTATAACAGCAACTAATAAAGTGCAGAAAGAAACAAGTTGAAGACAACAGTACAGATATTGTTGAGTCACTATTACGCCTTATGAGAGAATACATTGAAAGTTCACAAATTTTCAGAGAGTCAGTGTGACACTAAACTCTTTGTACTGACAAACTTCTTCTACGCTGGTTTGACAGCATTATCTGCTTTGCGCCCTTCAAAATGAGGGCAAACCACAGCACATTTTTTGAGAATAATTGTATTTTCGTTTCTGATAACGACGAACGACTGATACTGCGCGTGCCGTAGCGAGATTTGATATAGAAAATTTCAGTATTGCTAAATGACAAGGATTTCCGACGTTCTCATCAGAGCAGTCGTTGGCTTTACTTCTGAAAGTTTTTAATAACGTTTCTTTTCATTTTTTAATGTTTTACAAATTAGCATCTTTTGCCGACTACTGGATATTCTTAAAAATATGCTACCGTTTTCTGGCAACAAGTCGTTTTCTCCTGATTCTCTAAATTAAATTTGTATAAGATAAAGTTAATCTCTAAATTTCTTTTCTGTTTTCTTTCTTTGCTTTTATTTTTTTTGCATATTGCTTCTACAGTCACTATAACGCCATAGCTGCTCATTCATGATAATCTTTTTCAGTAATCTGCTCGTTTGAGAATACTAGTTTTGGTGTCTTCTGAAATGTCTTCATCAAATTGCACCCGTTTGTGCATAGGTTTCAAAATACACCTTTAAAGACGAAAAAAATTTTAAAAACAGTACTTTAAGAAGGGACTGATTTTTAAGTTACCTGACTTTTTTAACCTCTCTGAGATGTATAGATGAAAAACCTAGTTATAAAATTGAGTTTTTCAGTCATAATTACAGGTACGCGGCTTCCGGTTGATATAAATCGTAAAGAAAAAAACATCTGTTTTTTCTACACCTGCATTCCAAATTTTCAAATAGATTTCAATAATACCAAATCGTATAAGAATATTTCTGGCCTCTTCTCCTAGTTTGTTCTGCCTATAACTAAAATATAAATTCTTTAAGCACGTGTCTCATTTGTCTTAAGGCTTATAAAACCAATATAGTCCCGTGCGCCTCTTTTTCCAGTCTCTTCTATAAGTATAAGCACTCCAGTTTCTTTTGATATACGTTAGCTGGTCTTCATTATCAAAATCAATTTCCTGTTCAGGCTCAGCCTCATGCTTGCACACAGCCACTTGTTGTCTTCCAAAAGAAAAGAGATATCTTAGAGCAATTTGTAAAGCAAGATTTAGTAAACCTTAAAGATTTTAGATAATAAAAGTCATCCAGAATGTTGTACTGTAAGCGTAGTTGTCTAGAGAAGTAGCATCGCCTTTGGTCGCTAAAGACTGTAACTGCATTAGCTCATAGGCGAAATGGCAAGTTCCAAAGCTTATCGTGCAACTCAAATGACTGCTTCTGAAATACTCTGCAGCAGTACGTTTCTTTTGAATTAATGGATTCAAAAGCAAAAGACTGTATATCTTGACAGAATATAAATGTCTGTTACTATGCTCTTAATGAATTCTTAAATGTAACTAGTTTTGCCTTTAGCGTTATAAGGTCTGGTTCTGCTCCCAAAAATTTATAGTTTGGATATTTGAAAAAGTCAATCTTTTTTTTGTTGATTGGGTTAGTAAGCCACATAGAAAGAGTCAAAATTTTTGTTATTTGGAG